CCCTTTTTGATTGCCTCTATGCCGGACTCCAAGGCTCCCGCGCCAACCACACATGTTGGAGAGCCTTCTTGATGTCGAGCCTCCTGGCTTCCTGGCATGGAAAAATGGGGGTTTCCCGTATCCTTTTTGGGTCCCAATAACAAGGATTATGGGCCAATTATGGGTCCACGTATTTATGAAACCACCAAATTGTAGGTCCTGTCTGAAGCCTTTTCGGATCAGCACAAAAAGGGTTAACTTCTCGTGGGCCCAAGATTGCCGGCTAATTAAGGCCGATTAAGGGAAAGGTAGTATTGGGCGCCGTAGTAGGGGAATCCATGAACTTCAAACCCAGAAGATAGAGGGGGGGGGGAGGGGAAAGCTGAGCTGTCTATATCAAACTTGCACAGCTTAGACACATGACAACCCGCCCAGTGCCAGGAAGCAAGCTGAGGAGGGCAAACGAGGCAAAGCAGGGTCGCGTCTTCGTGCTGTAGCCGCCAAAAAGCATCTACTAAGAAAAGACTGCCAAACCTTCAAGATCCTTCAAGCCTGTCGCAGCTTGAGCATCTTACACCGCACTGCTCACACTCCATGGAACGCAAACTTGAATGTGTTTTCCAAAGCCTCAACGACCAGGAGCTTGCCGACAAAGTCCTGGACAGATGGAGGTGATGGTGGGCGCTTCTCGAAACATGGATGCATCCCGGTCCGTAGACTCACTATCCGACCAGACTGTAGACAATAAGCTTCTTGACGGCTGTGCTTTAAAAGGTGGCAGTATGATGCAAGCCGGATCCTTTTTGCTTATGAGAGCAAGCGTGGGTGGCCCGCTCTTTTAGCAGAAGCTGTCCTTCGCCTTCTCAGAACACTTCTGCCAGCCCTGCCGCAGCTTGTCATAGTTTCCTTTGCAGAGACGTCAGGATACGCATCAAGTCTTTAGGGGCACCAACGCCGTTGTGCAAGGGGGATGGTTAGGGTTGGGGCTAAGGGCTCAAAGAAAAAGCGCGATCTTCGCGAGTAAGGTCTGATTGGATAGTGTTACATTTGCCTCCACAAGGGTGGGGACTGTTGAAGTCCTCTTTCGCAAAATGTACAACCTCAAATCACAACAGTGGTGGGAGCTGTGGTTCAGTGAGAACTCAACTTCAAATCAAGTGCAACCTCGTAACAGCATGACGCTCTCACTGGTCATGTCTTTCACGTGGTCTGTCCCTTCTCTGCACACGGGGGTAGGAAGAAGCGCGGTGTCCCCTCAAACCGATAAGCAATCGCAAATCTTGAAGCTTTTGCTCAAAAGTCATGGCAAGGATGCCACGCTTCCCGCTGTTGTCTAAAACTGTCGACCAATAACCATGGTGAATCATTCACATACCTAGTAATCATGCCCTCTTATCGCGGGCCAAGCCCCTCACCAGCCAATATCCGCTGCGAGGTTTCCGCTCGAGTTTCGGTGCCTCGCCAAGTGTAGCAGTAGATGGGCTTTATGAGTCAAATCTTTGAGAGCTTTGCCCAGGAAAGGTAGCCAACTGGAGAATGCGATATCCTACATGTCCGAACATTAGCTTCAAGTTGTGTGTTAGTGCTCGTTGTCCCGTAAGAACTTTGACACTGCCGGTAAATTGACCTGTGCAAGTAACCATCTAAACTTCACAAGCAACCCACACGGCCTGTGATCCTGAAAGGGCTCGCACCGACCTGAGCAAGCCGCATGATTTGCAAGCGCATGTGAGACCAACGATGATATGCTCTACCGGTACGAACTCTTCGTGTAGAGTAAGCCAGATTCAGCGGGGTGTTGACATGCATGCACTTACATGCCTGCAGCACAGGGGTCCCCAACAAATCCTAAGTGTCTTGGCTCCCTCCACTCGGAATGCTTGGACCCCTGCCAGGAGCACATACAGCACCACCCCAAGGGACCAGATATCCGCACCTTGCTGAGGACACAGTACTGCTCAGTCTGTGACATTTGTTCTTGTAAGGAAAGCAGGACTTTTTAACAGGAGTTTTACGCCAGTTGGGGCATGTTGAGGCAGCCTCAGGGATTCTCTTCACTTTCTACAAACAAAGACCTAGAAGAGGATCCACATCCGTGGCTCACTTTCGGCATCACAACTTCGAAGTACCTGCAAGATATAGAACAGCTAAATGCACAAGCAGAATAAAAACACCTGACCTGAGCTTGCAGAATCTGACAGAGCTTCTGCAGTCTACTCATGTCTACTTCATCAAGCGCTCCTGGCACCAAGAACGGCCGGGCTTACATAGGGACATACCCTCAATAGTAGTTTCCATTCTATTTTCCAATATCCCAATATAACCCTAATATGACCCCAATATTACCCTAACATAACCCCAATATACCCTCAATGTAACCCTAATATAACCCTAATATGACACCCTAAACCCTAATATAACCCCAATATAATATGATAGGGCCAGCAGGGCTGAGCTCTCTGAGCTTCCGGCTCGTATCTGCACCTCGACGGGCGTAGATCTCAGGCGCCGTGTAGGACAACGTGCCTGCCAAGGCCCTATAATAGGGTTATATTACCTTAAGATTGGGGTAATGTTAGGGTTATATTGGGGTTATATTAAGGTAAATAGGGCTATATTGGGGTTATATTAGGCAAAAACCAGCTACAGCTGTAGAATCATGGTACAAGTAGGAGCTGAGCTTGAACTCCAGGGGCGCAGGATGATGGGAGTCTTTGGATGAATTGTGCATTGCATCGTGAAGGTTGCGTAGATGGATGTCCCTTCAAGGCTTTGGCTCATCATCTCCCTCTCGCGAAGCAGCTGAGCTTGTCGCCTATTCTGCCCATCGCTCGCGGCCTGGGAGTCAGGCCCTACCAATCCGCATAAGCTTGATTTTCAGAGTCAACTTTATTCACCAAAAGTCCCCACAAGCCCAATGTTACACTGTCAGCTCGCGAATACCATGTCACCCAAAAAGGGACAGTGAGTTCGAATAGCGTCCCAAACATCGCCGGAGCCAGTACAAAGGCCAAATGCTATACGAGTATCTGGCAGGTGAGGCATTGGGTGTCATTAGATTTTAAATGTTTTTAAGATATCATACGATCCAGAAACGCTGAGAATGTGGCTGGCCTCAAGATTTACATTCACTGACATGGACGCTACATACTCACGTGCCTAAAGGGTTTGGGCAGCTGCATTAAATTAAAGCCATGCGCGCGCGGAACATGGAATGCTGCTCTGAATACTTCGGGTTCCTTTGAAAAGCCGCCATCCCTATCAACAAGGACCCCAGCTTCATGTAACCGATTCTTTAAATCTCGCAGCTTCTGTACTTGGGCAATGGGCAATGGGCAATGGGGCACGTTCCGAAAGTCTCCACATACTAATACGCACCAGAAATGTGATCCCTAATGTGGAGGCGCCAGGGGGTAAAAGCTTCTGAGAATCTCGGCTCGGGGCATCTGTGGGCTTAGCTGCACAGCTGTCCCGAAGTCACAGAGCTTGATGATGCTTCCTTTAGGACTTTTGCATGCTTTCATGTCGTGCTTTCCAAGGTTCTGGTTGAAGGATCTTGAAGGCCCTGGGGATTTCCTAGGCGCGTACAAAGGGAGGTTGCTCTCTTTCACCGGGGGAAACCGGAGTGGAGACACCCGGTGCAACTAGAATCCCAACACAGCGAAGTAGTACGGTAATAATCTCGAAAAAGTTTCTCTTCTGGGTGACCACGTCGGTTTGGGAAGTTGGGTATGAAGGCCAGACATCGTCGCAGCTCACGCACGCTATGCTACTGCTACCCCAGTCCAGGCTGGAATGTTGGGGATCGTAAGCCTATGTAGAAAAGAGTGCGTGTCAAACCTATGGCAGTCCAGTGGACAAACATGTTCCAAGGGTCTACTTTAGCTGCGCTGCAGCACTGAGCATATGCGAGGTCCAAGAACTGACTTCCAAATATTGACAGCTGTCATCAGATCATGCAGCCGGCGCGGCTTCTCCACTTCAACCAAGACATATGAAGACTGACTTGCAAGAACCTATTGACCTATTGGTTCCCATGGACAGTCCGACCCACTTGGATATAGTGTCGGCTGGGATCTTGGATGGACGGAAAAGGGGCTTGGAGGCCTTCTGGTGTACCAGGGTCACCCAGCAGCAGGAAGTTTTCGGTCCTTGGACTTGAAGGTTTAGAGCTTCACACCGCGTCAACACTAACAACATGAAGATCTCGCTTGTTCGATTGACTGCTGTGCCTTTGCATCTCCGACTACAAGCTGCTGAGGGGAGCAAAGGCCAAGGACCGGGCTTGATGTCGCGGTGCACTATCCTGGCCTTGTGCAAGAAGGCGACCTTGCGCACGGCGTCATGCAGAATGCTCAAAGGATTTGTGAAAGGACTGCCGCTGCTCAAGCAGCACAGCCCAAGCTATGCCACACACAGCCATTCAGAGTGATGAAACAACGTTGCGCGCGGCGTGTTTGGATGATGTCCGCCGGGTTCCCGGCCGCATACAACATCTGCCGAAAGTACGTTTTGGCTTCGGTCCTGAAGATGATTTCTATTCAGAAAGATTCTGATCGTGACTGAGACCCTCACAGCATGCACTTCTCTGAGACCCCAACTCATCGAACGCGCCGCCCTCTGCACGCCTCTGTTGTGCCTGGGGCGGTTCTTGCAAGTGCATGAATGACACCAAGCTTCCATGTGACATCATCCGACGAGAGCATGCATGCTTTTTTGGAGGCCGGATGTCAATGTCAGAGCTGCGCAAGCTGCATGGCGTCAAAGAGAATCAGAGAGACTTCACGCAGTGCTCCTCTGCACACCGCGGCCGAAATTGATAGAGACTCAATACCGTCCATCGTCAAAGGCAGCGCGTCTCTCGCAAGGGCTTGACGGCTCTCGGGATTCTGGGGAGCTGGGCCCCTGGGCCCTCGGGCTAAAAGGTTGGCATACGGAGCTGCTGGAGACTTGAGCTGCTCAGGCCACTTTGGGAAGAGAGGTACCAGCGCACTGTTTGCGCACCCTTGCGGAAACTCCTCTCAAAAGCACTGCGCTTGCAGCCACATTTGGCGGAAACTGGCGAACATTGAGCTGCTGCCTGCGGGGTGAGCAAGTCAGATCAGAAGATGCTGCTCTTGTACCGGTCGGTCATAGAACATTGTAGATTAATGTGGAGAGCAGAGGGCAGAGCAAAGAGAGCTGGCAGAGAAGACACGCAGAGCAAAACTTCAGCACGGACATTATACATCATTATATACTGTACCTTGACCAGGCAACCCTGCCAAGCACCTGCACTGAACGAGCCTTCCGTCTTGGCTGGCTTCTGGCTCGGCACCTGCGTTGCTAGACACGGAAACATTTCCAAGTGAAGGGGCCCACGCTGCTTGGATTGCAAGCTGCATCAGGTACGAGAACGACTCTGCCATTGCGATGTCATCTGCAGAGTTGTTCTTCGCGTCAGCTTCAGCAAGCTCTCTCAACTCTCTCGTCAAAGGTGCCATAAGAGGCTCATGCTGCAAGCAGATTCCGTTGCGCTTGCGTTGCAAGCTGTCTTGTGAAGTTCTCCTAACTTTCTCTCCCTTGCAGCACGGAAGTTGCACCTCCTGCAGCTGTGGCTTGGTCCGTACTGGCGCAGGGGGCGGTTTGACCTCCGCACATCTCCGGATCTCACCAAGGCTCCGTCACAGCACATGTGCACAGGTCCCTCCTGCGGAGGGAGGAGCCCAGCATCCTCCAGCAAGGTGGGGTATGAAGCTGCCTCAGAGGAAGGACGAGCTGCCACAGCGCGTTGGAAAGGCTGCCGTAGGTAAAAACTGTCTAAACTCTTGTGAATGACGACGTTGATACCAGGGGATGCACATGCTAGCACGTTTTAGCACGCTCTCACACTCTTCTGCAGTTTATCTCGTCCTCTTCAAGCTGATCTGCGAACCGCTTCAGCCATCGTCAGCCACAGCTACCCAGCCACAGCTACCTGCCCTCGACGGCCCGCTGGGCTCCGGACCCGGCACTCGCGCAACATCCACGATGCCATGGTGTCAGCAGAAAAGGCCCTGCAGGGTGTGACAGCAGAAGCTTCACAAAGCAACCCCGCGAGACTTTCATCGACTTTCACCAACTGCCTCGCGTCCAATGAGCGAAATCTTGGGGCGGCCACCTGTCCTTGCAAGCAGGCATCCCAAAATCCCCGACAAAGCCAGCGCAAGCCAGAACGCATCGCACCCCATCCTTCGATGACGGCTCGAATCGATGTGCTGCTGGTATTCAGCATGGCCTCACGTTCCCCCTCTATGCACCAAATCCACCATCTGCTTCTGGCCCCGCACAAGCACACATTATGGATACTTAGACCATGCGTGCCACACGCGACAAGTGTCGAGGTCCCGACTCGAAGCGATGCCAGGAAGGGGTTAGGCGCAGAGTCCTGGTGTCAGCAACGGCACAAGTTGGCCCAAGATGGCGCAAGTAGGATATGCCTTGCAAGGTGTACAGGTCGTGGTGCGTTGTTTAGTGCATTTGGTGCCAAGTGTGATGCAGTCAGCACTGCTCCGCATGCTCCGCCTTGGGCACGCCGGGAAGCTCCAGGCCGCGGCTCTCGCGCAGCGCAAGGTGCCAGCATGCCTGCCTGCAAGCACCCCACTACGTGGAAGCATCAGGTGCAACATGCGCAACGTTCACAACAACATCGCAAGATATCGCAAGTGGGAATAGATCCACGCCTTTCGGCCACGAGCCCGGGCACCTCGCAGAACGAGCGCAAGCCAGCAAATTGGACCGGAAAACCATCCTGCATGACCTTCAGTGCCCCATTGAACTCATGCCTTGGGAAGTACGGTGCTACGGTATAGCAAGGTCATGCGTAGTGTCTAGCGGCGTGAACAAGAGCATCAAGAGCGAGCAAGAGCAAGAGCATTGGACCGCATAGCAGCCTCCTCCAACAATGATCCCCAACTTGGCAGCTGTTCCACCATCTTCACTCACGAGACTTCGAAGCACCAAGCTGCTTGGAAATGCTTGGAAACCATCTTTCCCTCACCTCCGTTATGCTCCGATTCCACAGCCCCGCCTTGGAAGAAGCGATGGCCATGTCCTGGATCCACTCACAGTCATGGGGCCATGGGGAGAGCGCCGGCGTGAGAGGACATGCGATATATTACGCGAGATGAAGGGCTCCTCCATGCTGCGGGCTGCGCTGAGGACTGCAAAGCTGCGCTTGGCCTGCTGGAACATCCAAGCGAGTTGAGAAACGTTTGATCATGGCTCCTCTCCTGCCCTTTCAAACTTTCAAAGCCGGAACGCCTCTTGGAAGGCGGCGGTCTTCGCCACCTGGCACATCACGCGGGCATGCGACCATGGCACTTGAATGCTTCCACGATGCTCATGGCCTCTGCCAAAGGCGTTGGCACCACCCCAGGAGAAATTGAATTGTCTCCACTGCATGGGTAGCTGCGAACTTGATGAGCCAGTCAAAAGAACACATTCAATAGAAGCCCTCCGCAGCCTCTGCTGAGCTCCGGGCTGGCCGTTGCATGGTTGGGATCATTAGGCCCATGACCCCGTTCTCCCGCACAGAAGCGAAGGTAGCTATGGCGCCTCAGGTTTTCAAGCCCTCCACATCCCCCCGCTTGTCCGAGGCGCAGCTTGCAGCTGGTCACGATATGCTTCCTCAAGATCTTCACCGACTCCATGCATCCACGGCCCTGGTCCCTCTGCACCCCTTTCCGTCCTGACCAGTTACTGTGAGGTCTGCACCACCAGCTGAAGCGAAGCCGCCACGTCCTCTATGGGCTTCGGCACCGGCAGCAGCCTCCAAGAATGCCACAAGCATGACACACGCGTCTGCCACTCTTTTGACTGAGCCCGTCACGCGTCCGGGTCGAAGGACAGCAAGTCCTGGCAGCGCATGGCAGCACTGCGCAAGATCAAAGCTCCCGTCCCCGACAAAAGCAGCAGGCACCCGGCCTCGGACCCGTCAAGCTGATGTTGGTGCCAACTTGCCTGGCAATGCCGTTTGCGCCATGCAAGATCAGACTTGGAACATCCTCGTGCAGACTCAAAGCAGGGGGATCACCAGCACGAAGAGCTGCTGCAGCATCAGGCCCGCAACGATGGTGTGTGCAATGGTTTGGGGCTCAATAACTGGCAGAGGTTGGATCCAAGGGGACAGAAAAAGCCAGCTACCAAGGGCAGTATCAGGGCCAGGAGCTCCGCAATAATGTCCAAGAGCTCCTAAGGTACAGTCCCGGGCTGAACCCTGAGCTGAATCCAATCAAAACTCCTGCCCAGAATGCCGCCCAAGCCCCTGAGCTGCCCTGCCTCCTCTTTGTTCAGGGCTGAGCAGACACCTTTGGCTCTGGCCCCGTAGCCCCTTCGCCAGCTGTGCCTGGGACAGCTGGGGACTGGGGACCGACTTGATGCTTCACGTAGCTTGTAGCTCGTAGATGATGAAAGTGAGAGTCGCTCAATCAAGCCGAGTGCCCACGCGGCCTCAAGTTTCGCAGCGCAGCTCATCGTGTGGGACCTGTTCCGGGACGGAGCATCAGAAGTGGTCGACTGACGCGAACCATCTCTCTTCACGGAGGCGGCCTTCATGGCTTGAGCTTGCACCTTACACGGGGCAGATGCGGCGGCAGCCAGAGATCGACACGATGGCACAGGTCTTGGTCAAAGGTATTGGCAAACCGAGCACTGCGTTTTCTAGACCTAAACCCTGCTCCGTGCTGCCAGGCTGCAGAGGATGGTTACCCTGCCGGCCACCCGCACAATAGCTCCTCGTGGTGGTCAAGGAGCCGGCAGGCCGTGCACGTGAGCGCCAATCCTGCGTCTGGCGCAACTGCCGCTGCATCCAAGCGAAAGGCCTCCGACATCAGCGGCAAGCATTCTACCTGCAGAGCAGCATGTTATGAGTAGCAAACGCCAGCTCCAGAGCTTTCGAGGACCGCGCAGGGCTTCCGGATTCGTCCATCATTGCCTCTGTCGGGATGCCCACTTGTACGGGCTACGCGGAGAGCACTACGATGAGCAGGGCACCATGTGCAGGAGGTACTCGGCAGTCCTCGTAATACAGCACGGCAAGGCAGAGGCAAGGCGCTTGTAGCATCTTGGAACATGCTGTAGCTGCGGCGCTCTGGATGCTGAGTTTCAGACGTGCTGTTGACGCGCATCCCGACGTGCTTGCACAGCTGGGCGTAGTAACCCTCGGCCCGTCTATGCTGATCCCCTCATATCCGCTCTCCCCCTTCCCTTACAACCGGGCATTTCCCAATAATTTTCGAGATGCCGGCGGTGTCCTTCATGTCATCCTACATCCAGTTTCTGGGGGCCCGGGCCGCTGCATCGTCGGTCAACAGCTCCGGCCTAATTTGGGTCGGGAGATGCTGGACTAACAAGGACTTGCGGGTGAAAGCCATCTGCTGAGTCGCACAGAAGAGCATGTACCCGACTCTTGCTACACTGTGCCATGCTCAAACTTGCAAGGGCAGATCCGAGAATCAGGCTTTCCAGCGAACAGCCGGTTGTAGCTGCCGCCACGCAAGGTCGTTTCGAAGGTGTCCTGCGTGGCCTCGCACGCGTGACATAGATGCAGCGGTTACTGGGTCCGTTTTGTGGCCCTGCATGCAGGGCGGGAATCTGAACATGGAGAGGCCCAAGTGCGCCCAAAATGCAAGCAAGCGACGCTGGCCAGAAGGCTAGGCTAGACCTCTGCAAGGCCAGCATGCGAGATCATGCGAGATGCATCTGCTCCGACATGTTCTGTAGCGCACGTGGCATCATATGAAAGCAAAATGCAAGCAAAGCGGCGCAGTGGCCATCAGCTGCGTGCGCACGCGCCGTACGGGAGAAATGATGGCGTTGTGCGCCAGCATCTCACAGGCCTGCAAATGGAGGGAGAGCTCCGCGGTTACAGCCAGCCCTAGCAACGTCTGTGCTCACGTGGCTGAGCATGCAACATCAGGCGACTCTGACAGGCTCTTGCCATCTCAGCAGATGGGCCTGCTTCTCGTTAAAAAATGAAAGAGCTCGCCGCCCTTCTTCTCCGAGTATGCCACCCTCGCCGGATCATCGGCAAGCTTGAGGCACCCACTAAGCATATTGCAGCCGGGCTGCGCGGCTCCGGTCTTGTACAGCTGTCGCACGAGAGCCTCATTAAAAAATCCCGTCAGTTAAGGGGGGTACTT